CAATCGCGATTTTTGGTGAGATTTTGACTGGCCCACATACTGGGGTGGCCCGCTTACTGGTGAAACACGTTAGTACTTTATATACGTTAGTAGCGTACGCTAATATTACTAACTACTTTTACTCTACTTAGTACTTATAATTACCCTTTCTATCTCTATAGTAAGCTACTACGTCTATTATATCTAGAGAGCTCTACTAGAAGTAATATATTACTACTACTAGTCTTATTTTTATTATTAATACTAATAAGTTATATATAGCTTCTTATTCTTTTTTATAAATATTATTATAGATTATATTATAAGCTATATACTCTTTATAAGCTAGTATATAGTAATACTTATTAGGCTATTTAATTACTAGTATTACTAGTATAGCTACTCTTAAAGATAGAGTATCTACTATTAAAGCTACTCTACTATATATAGTATTTTTATTTATATTATAGCGCTACTAGCTATATTTAGCTACTATAGAGATAGTATTTAGATAACTATTAATAATAATAGAATACGCTCTAGATAGAGAGAGATAAAGCCTATTACTTAAAAGTCTACTTAGATATTTTACTAAGTAAAAACTATTTACTAAATCTATATATAAACTATAAGAAAGTATATCTTATTAATATAGTAGATACTTTAGTAAATAAGCTTTTTAATCTTACGTCTATATATATACTTAAGTAGTAAGAAGTAGCTTATATTAAGTAGCTAGAGAAGATATAATATATAAAGTAGTATATAAAGAGTAATAATTTTATTTTTAGTATAGTACTAGTTAAACTCTAGTATTATATAGCTACTATAGCTATCTAGAATAAATAGCTAATAGATCTTAGCTATATAAGTAGCTATATACTAGTTAAAGTACTTTACTTACTCTATACTAAGCTTATTTATTATTTAGCTATTATCTAAGATATTAATAGTTTAGTTAAGTAGAAGCTTATTATACTAGTAAGACTAGTAGACTTTACTACGTAGTATTATAAATAGTAGAAGATATTAGCTAGACGCGTTAATATACTTAATTACTATTATCTACTTATAATTATTTAGCTATATAATAACTACTCTATCTACTCTATTAGAGCTTATAATAATTTTAAATATACTAGTAATACTTATTATAAATCTAGTTTTATTAAAGTTATAAATATCTTAATCTAAGACGCTATACGTCTAGTATATCTTCTCTACTAGCTTAAACTAAGCTATAATTATAATTAAATTTTTATAGATAGCGCACTAACTATATAGTCTTTTAGTCTACTTTATCTAAAGCTTTAGCTAACTTTAAATAAAGTATAATATCTAATTCTTACTTATAGACTAAGAAGGTAAATCTTAGCTATATATAGTAAGTAATATATCTACTATTTATTATATATTAATAATATAGAGTAGAAAACTANNNTAATTAANGTTTAGAATCTACTATATAAGAGACTACTCTTTAATANNTAATAGNTTTTAGTTAATAGAGACTATCTCTAACTATAGCTANNTANCTTAAANNTANGTATATAGTATTAATTATANTATATTATATACTTTTATAAAAGCGTAGATAAATTATTTTAAATTATTATAAGAAGATATAATAGTAAGACTTATTCTACCCTTATAAGAGGTCTATATAGAGCGTTATTATCGCGGCATTATAGTGATTATATAGAGAGTCGCGTTAGGTTAGGTGGGGTGCCCAGCTTACTGGTGTGCCCAGCTTACTAGTGGAACACGTTAGTTAGTACATGGTGATGTATAAGCAGCTTTGCATGATGCAGGGCCTGATGACGTAACAAGCGACCCTTGATACCGAGCCGAGCATCAGAATTATTCGTCTACGCCATGCAAGTATGCTGTAGCTAAGCGACGGGCTGCGGAAAGTGCGGAAATATGGCCGTCGCCCTTGGCTTAGACATATCAGTAAATTCTTGTATTGTTGTTTTCTTTGGGGACGGGCAATACAAAAATGAGATATTCGTTACTAGGTGGTACGTTTCAAATGCTGTTTGAAGATGCACGTCTTCACACTCATTCGGTAGCCTACAGTGTGTGCTTACAGATTGTATCAGACTTTGTGTCACTTTTGGACAATACGCCATTGCAACTCATATCCTCCTTCACGAGAGGTTCGCCCAGGAAGAAATTTTTGCTATTGTCAAGTTTCGACAAAGAATATCGATCTAGTCTTGTGTATCTCACGAGGGCTGGTAGGTAGGCGTGCTTGATTCATAACTTATTTACATACATGGTATGAACTGCCAATCGCTCTCTCAATGTGGTTAAAAGCTTGAGATACATGTACATCACTTCTCTTTTGATATTGTTTTGGGAAGATACAGTTACAGCCATAGACCACGACATATGGACTATTATGCCGGAACCTTAAACGCACTCTTCAAAACCATATGTTTACACAGTTTGTTGACAACTGCTACCTATGTGTACTACATGCTTATCTGCAATACTACCGAGCCATTGAGACACAAACTTGGTGACCTTTTCAGATGATCGGCATCCATGGATTCCACGACAGATAATCAAGTGGAGCTACACGGCTGCTATTTTGCAGATGTGCTACGACTATTCTTAGCCGGACTCAGGCGACATGTGGATTTCATTGGTCCCCAAGGTTAATTTCGGCAGTTGCCGTGTCAGCTTACGCGTGGGTGCGGGCGCCCGATAGGCCTACTGGCGAAGCGGTATGTACGAATGTATATTTTGCAATGGTCGAGGTATGGGATCCAAGAGTTCTCATATTGAAATAGCATGTAAAATTAGAGTTTCGTAGCTAGTACTTGGGTAGGTCAGTGCTTCTATGATGCTGGTCCATGTCTCTGAGCATTTGGATGTTACTTTGACGCTATTGTTATTCTTTTTCTCCTTCTTCTTCTTCTAGGAAACGAGTCGTTTCTAGGAAAGAGTTGGAGATGGATAGGAGCATGCCAGATGCGGTCGATTGTTAGTTGGCAAAACATGGCGTTGATACATGCTAGCAAATTACCGCACAGATGCAGTGCTAACCCCAAACCGGCACAGTATTGCGAGAACCTGTTTTGTGGGCTGTGAGTAAGTAACCTGAATGTGCATGTTATTGATACAAGGCGATTATCGTTATTTCTGCAGGTCTAGTCCAGCCGGACGTTAGCTCATTCTGTGTAGCGTGATGATACATACGTATCCTGCAGGCTTCACCTCAAGCATGTATGTGATTGTAGGACTAGATCTGAGATAGGCGAGATACGGTGGGACTATTGTTAGCAGCGACGTCGGTTTAGTTGCTGCACATGAGGCAGGCAGCGGTAGCCCGGGTGACGGCAATGCATTCAAGAGGGTCCAGGGATTTGTCAAACGTAGTTTGCATGTCACAAAGCGTGATAACTCACAGCGCGTGACGGGGACGGTGAGTTTTTGGTCGACAACAACGCTAGCCCCGCTGTCGGCGGGCTGGTTGAAGCGAACAAGTCGGTTAGGTAATTACTTGGGTGGCAGCAGGGATAATACCGGGATGTAAATGTTTGTGAAACATACATGTACACAAACAATCAGTCTTGTTTACGCACCTTCCGAGCATGTAAGCTGTAGTTTGGGCAACGGGCGCTGTCGTGTTGTCATTGTCATCAAGATTGGACCCACCAAGGCGCCTACTACTACTGTTTGTTTGGATCTGGTCGGTTCAACATGCGACGATCCAGGCTACGGCCAGGCCAATGCCGCGACCGGTAGCGAGTCCAGCTGCAATCCGTGAAACACTGGTAGACATGCATAAGCGTTGATATCTCCATAGACATGGCAATGCTTACAGTTCCAATCCAAGAAATCAGACAGTCTGCAGGGGTGAATAAATTGACCGACATACCCAGAGATGGATCAATCAATGCATGTGTAGTGCATGGTGTGGTGCTTTCTTCTTGGCAACAAGAAGCAGAGATACAGCGTTGGAAGTAGATGAGAAGGATGCAGGCCTGAAGAGTACATGGGATTTGATCATCCGTCATTGTCATTCATATCTATTTTAATCGTAAAGTGGCGTCAGTGCGATGCAACAGCTAAAGCCAAGAATCGTGATGGGGTCAGCCACAGGTCTAATCGGGTATGTCTAACTCTATATATACAAAACTTTTGGTCTTCTCCCTAATCGTACACAATGGCGTTGCTGCTCAAATAAGCGCTTCGCCCCTGAACATGGCCTCTCGGACTTCTCGTACAACGTCTGCACGGTCGCCTGGCCCGAGCAGTACAATACCTCTTCCACGTCTGCCCATTCGGCCTGTGCGGCCAAGGCGGTGGATAAAATCAATGGTGGTGTGGGGAACATCAAAGAGGATGACGTGTCGAACGGACACGGTATCGATACCTCTTGAGCCGAGATCAGTTGTGACAATGACCTTGGTGTTGGGTAGAGTGCGTTTGTTCGCCAGTGTTGAGTTGATGGGTGCTTCATCTTGAGTCGCTGGCGAAGTGCCGAGTGAAGCATCGCTAGTAAACGATTTGAGAATCTTTGCTTGTCGCGAAGGGTCTGTGTCGCGATGGAAGGCTAGAGCATCAATGCCCTTTTTGACAAGGTATTGTGCCACTTGTTCAGTGTCTTCGCGCTCATTGACAAAAACCAAGATGCGCTTTGTGGGTATTGCCTCCTTGCCCTCGGTGGGATCATAGTCAGCAGATGCTTTGCCAATTTGCCATATCGTGTCTGCACAAGCAAGTAACTTGTTACCGCGGTAGGGATCCTTGTTCACGTCCACGACGCCCAACTGCACCCTGCGGGGAATGGCGTGCAAGTTGGGGGTGACGAGGCGGTGCATGTCGGGAAACCTCTGTGCAAGGTACTTGTCGAGGTATTTGGGAATGGTGGCCGAGCATAGAACAAGCTTCTTGAGAGATGGAGTGGCCCGCTCGAGGATTTCGGTAGTAGTCTCCTTGAAAGAGCGGTCGAAGAGGGAGTCTGCTTCGTCGCAGATGAGATGGGTAACGCGGGCAAGGATGTTGGGGTTGCTTTGGGCAATGCTGGCAAGGAGCGGCGGGGTGCTGATGACAACATCGACGCCGTTGGGGTTGAAGAGCTGGTTGCGGATGACAGTAGCAGACATCTTGGCAGATATGGGCGCGGCACGGAACTTGATTGTGTGCGAGAGCGACTTTGCGACGGCACCGACCTGTGCAACCAGCTCGGCAGAGGGAACGAGGATGATGGCCCGTGGACGGGCTGGATCAACGGCCTTGTTGATCTCTGGCTCCTCGGCAGCAAACATGTCGGTTCGCTTATCGTGCTCTTTGGCAGCCGCAGCGGCCTCTTGGGCCGCTTCGTTGGCCTGTTGCTCGGCCTCATCCTTTTCGCGCATCTCGTTCTGCTTGATGGCGTCCAGGGTAGGGAGAAGGTATGCCAGCGTCTTTCCGGACCCCGTCTCGGCTGCGAGCAAAAAGGCGTCGGGGCCAGTCTTGTTCGCTTTTGCTTTGGTGCGCACAGCTTTTTGCATGCCGAGCAGAGCGGGTATGGCGACAGCCTGCGCCGGTGTGGGATTGCGGTACTCGAGGCCGGGCAGTGCATCGCTGACGGCGCGCAGGACGGGCTCGGCGAGGGGGAACTTGTCGAAGGAGTCGTACTGGTCCATGTTGCGCTTGATGGCGGTGCGGTCGCTGTAGGGAACCTGGTGCAGCGAGCTCTGCATCTTAAGGGCGTGGAAGGGCTCTGTCCTTGGCCTGGCCCTGCCCTGGCTGTGTCCGGTGGGCGACGACGGGCGCCCACGTGCCTCTCTCTGGTCGCGCATCCGTTGCAGGCCCGGCGGCGCGTGTGTGCGGTTCAGATAGGAGAAGGCATCGGGCTTCTTCCTGGGCTTGGTGTCTGGCGTGCGGGCGACATGTTCCGACAGCACCATGCGCGAGCGTCTCGGGGCCCTCGAGGGCGACAGCGACGACGACTGGCGGCGGTCGTCGTGGGCGGCATACGGGCGTGGGCGTGGGCGGTGCAGCAGTGATGATGACTGGCAGCGCAATGGCGAGGGGCCCAGCAGTGCCCGCGGGCTGCAGAGCGGACACGGAGCAGGCAGCCGTGACAGCATGGTCCGCGGTTGTGGTGGTTTTATTTTTTGGGACGGCAATTTTTTCCCCCCAAACGGGCAGACGAGGTGACGTCGGGCGGCACGGGCGATGTCGCGATGCAAGTGGGCGCTAGGCGCAGCGGGCTGCCATTGCTGCCAGCGTGCCATGGACAGGCGGGTGGGCTCCAGCCACATGCGGCTCGTTACCGCAGCAACACCACCCAACACCCGTCTACCCCGGCTATCAACACCTTAGATAGCGCCCACGGCCCCAAATCCAATTCACACCGCACGCATCCACACACACACACACTCGCTCGTCTTTGATAGCCTCTTCACTGCACCATAACCTCCGCGCCCCGTGTGTGCCTGTGTGTGAGTGTGTGTGTCCTTCACTTGCTTTGCTCCCGGCTTCATCAGCGCACACGCTGCCGTGCACTCACTGCCTACACTCCACTCCACTAGGCCTGCCAGTGCGCGCCCAACTCATCCACGGACATTGCCCAGTGACGGCTAGACAAACAACAAAGGATTTCTTTGTTTGCACTCGCCTAGCACATTGCGGCAGACATGTCGCGCAACGAAGCGGTAAGCACCCCATTCCCCCATTCCCCCCTCCACCACGGCGCTCCGGCGACGGCGACTGCGACTGCAACTCGGATGCTGACAGCAATGGCACCCAGGTGTCGCCGCTGCGCATCACCAAATCGCCCTCCACCTCGTCCCCCAAGGGCAGTGGCCGGCCGCTGTCGGAGATCAGCCCCCATGAGCACCGCAGGAACTCGCCCAGCTGGAACCAGTCAACAAAGGTTCGTGCACATGGCCGCCGCTCCATCAGCACCAAAAGCAACTGACACGCCCCCTCCAGAAGATGCTCATCTCCAAGGAGAGCTCGCCCTACCGCGACTCGTCGCCCTTTACCCACAGCCCCCGTCTCTTCTGGAAGGAGCAGACAACGTCGCCCAAGAGCCGCTTCGACACGTCAGAGAACGACTGCGAGGCCAGCACACCGCTCTCCCCCAAGCGCAACTCGATTGAGAACCTGAAGAAGCAGTCACGTGTCAAGAACAGCAGCATGTTCGCCCGCGAGCAGAAGAACGAATACGACCCCACCCTCGTCCAGCCACTCGACCGCCCCCTCGCCGCCGGTCGCCCGCTTAACACCGTCGTACAGGGCAACGCATATGGCGGCCATGGTATGCAGGGCCTGCGCGATGAGAACAACAACAACAACAACAGCACCACCAATGGCCCTACCAGGATTCCCATCCTCAGTCCCTCCAAGACTTCCCCCGCCAAGCTGCCCACACAGTCATCCTTTTCTTCACCCTCAAAGTCGTCGCCCTCAGAAGGTCGCGCATCCCCCACAAAGTCGTCGCTTGTCAGCAACGGCCGCTTCAACTCACCACAGTATAACCCCGACTCCAGCGCTGTCTTCTCCGACGACGAGGACATGGTGCAACAGACGCCCCGCCCCCTGCGGCGCCATGCTAAGAGTGTGACCTTCGACACTAGGCCCCCCCAAATCACAGAGTTCGAGATGGTCACACCCGATCCCTCGGTGACGACGGCATCGCGAGACGGCAGTTACGACTCCGAAGAGGATGAGACCGAGGAGGAGCTCAGCTTTGATCAGGACGACAGCTTCGATGCTTCCCTCGAGGACACCGAGAAGACACCCGTAGTCCTTCCTGAGGATTGGCGCCATATGAGCCCAGACGCCGCAGACACTTCACTGACTGACACCTACGACGATGTTTTCGATGGTCGCGATAACAGCCCCATGCCTTCTGCAAACCCCAATGGCCAAAGGAACCAAGCGCGCCTAGGCTCAACCGCCTCTGATAGCGACGCCAGACCACTTCCTCCTCTTCCCGGCTTCCCAGCCCAGGAGGGCAGTCGGCGGCGTGACTCGAGCATTGGTTTGTCTAATGCTGCTGAGCGAATCAACGACAGGCGGCGGTCTCTCCCTCAGCTTCCCCAAGCCGCTGGTATCTCCAAGAACGACCTCCTCAACATGCGCGAAGTTTCCATGTCGCTTGAGGATCGATTGCGTTTGATGAACTTCGACAACGACCGCGATACAAGTACACCAACACAGGAGATGCAGAACAGGAAGAACATTCATGTTGACGATGAGGTCACCGACGCTGACGTTGAGGGGTCCGAGGCTGCCGCTGGTGAGCCGAGATCTGCGCCTCGCATCTCCCGTGATTCCATCCTCCGTCGTGTCAAGAGCCGCAACTTTGAGGATGGTGAAGACGACGATTCCGAGGTTGAATACAGCAACTTCGACCACGACGACAGCCCTGAGCGCAGCTATGGAGACCTCGCTGATCTTGATCCTGACGTCCCCATCCCCTCGCGTGAGGTCTCTTCCAACTTCGACGAAAACCCACGACAAGTCTCTGGTGTTTCTCAGAGTGAGGCAGACAGCGTAGTGGATGCATATAGCTATGGCGATGTGCCGCACGGTAACCACGATGACGAAACAGACGTAGATGGTAGCTCCATGTCCCAACTTGAAGACTACGAGCGTGACTCATCCGTCATCCACCACCCCATGCCACCAGCGTCGGACGACGAGGATGACACTAGCCAATATTCACTTGAGCCTGAGGAGCAGCCCACATCCCAGAGCACCATCGACTCTTCCGGCCCATCAACACCAACGGTTGCCCCCTCCTCACCAGTCGTCGAGGACAAGCAGGTTCAGCAAGACGAGATGTTTTCAAACTTTGATGCCAAGGACATGGATCTCAGCCTTGACCCCGAGAAGCCTACAGTCGACACACCTGCGAACCCACTTGACAAGGCTCCTAAGCTGGACGCTATGCGCGATGCTCTCCGTCGGCCTGTCACCCCAGAACCGGCAGAAGGTCAGGATGACGAGTCAGGATCGGAAGGTCCTAGTACTCCAGGCTCCGTCATTCGACACCCTGTTGCTCAATCACCCCTTCCACAAGAAGACATTGAGGTTCCTCAGCGCGAAGCCACTATCCGGGGTGCAGGTGGAAAGTTGAAGACAAGACCTTCGCTCATCCCTGATGAGGTTGACATGGCGGCCACGCGTCGCCATGTCAGTGGTGGCTATGCTCCTCCCGTCCCTGAGCGAAGCCCTAAACGCCAATCTATGAGCCTCGAGCCGGGCCATGCTGATGATGAAGATTCACAGCTCAGCATTGGGACGAGAGAGAGACGCATGCTTGATCTTAATCTTGGCGATGACTCGAATGACCTCAGCTTCGGCCTCGACAAGGAGTTTGATCACATCATTGCTGCACAAAAGGTAAGTTGCCCTTTTACTTATACAACTGGATCAGTTTACTAACATCTACACACAGAAGGGATATATGATGCGTGAAAACAAAAAGGTTGTTGTTGCCAGCAGCCGTCAATTCAGTGACGAGAAGCCGCCCACTGGAACTGATGCTGCGCCTGAGATCGTAGTTGCCAAAACTGGAACTCGCAAGGCTAGTGCTGAGCGCAAGCCTTGGACGAAAGAACCATGGAATGGCAAGCCTCGACGCAAGAGCATCCGAACTGCATCGGGCCGGCGAATGCGGACCTCCGAGGGCCCCGCTCCGCCTTTACCTGGCCAGGACTCGGCTGTCGCGGGTGGTCTCGACGCTGTGGCTGAACAGGGCGTTGTTGATGAGTTTGAAGACGGAGAGGAGCGTGGCAGAGTCTTTGTCAAGGTGGTTGGTGTCAAGGACCTCGATCTTCCTCTCCCCAAGAAGGAGCGCGTCAACTTCCAGCTGACTCTCGACAATGGCTTGCACTGTGTTACCACGTCTTGGCTGGAGCTTTCCCAATCGGCTCCGATTGGTCAAGAGTTTGAGCTTGTCGTCTTGGACGATCTCGAGTTCCAACTCACCCTGCAAACAAAGCTCGAGCCTCCGGCCGTGCAACAGGTTGTTGCTCCACCTACCAAGATTGTCAACCACAAGAAGTCGCACTCAGCCTTCCGCAATCTCCTCTCATCGCCCAAAAAGAGGAAGGAGCAAGAGCGCAAGGCGCAAGAGGAGGCTGATCGCATCGCTCTTCAAGAACAGCAAGAGGCTCAGGCTGCTGCTAAACGCAACTACCAGGCAACTGCCTGGGACCTCCTCCATGACTTGGTTGGTTCGGATGGATCGTTTGCTCGTGCCTATGTCTGTCTCAGTAATTACGAAAACCAAGCATACGGTCGCCCTTTAACTGTTGATGTTCCCTGCTTCAACGAGTGGGCCGTTGACAACACGGGTGGAAGCAGTGTTAAGAGCAAACGTGGTGGTGTTGTTCGCCGTCCCCCTTATCGGGTCGGCAAGCTAACTCTTCAGCTGTTGTATGTCCCCAAGCCGAAGAACTCCAAAGACGAGGACATGCCCAAGAGCATGAATGCTTGCATTCGTGAGCTCAAGGAGGCTGAACAAGTCAAAGATATTAGCTTCGAAGGCACTCTAAGCCAACAAGGTGGCGATTGTCCGGTAAGTACCTCCCGCATTAACTCTTCACTCACAAATCCAAACTAACATGGTGTAGTACTGGCGTCGCCGATTCTTCCGCCTGGAAGGCACAAAGCTGACTGCGTATCACGAGTCGACTCGCCAGCCGCGTGCTACTATCAACTTGGCAAAGGCTTCTAAGCTCATGGACGACAAATCCGCTCTTCAACAGCCTTCTGCGACCAAGTCTGGTGGCCGCCGCAAGTCTGGGTTCGCGGAAGACGAAGAAGGCTACATGTTTGTCGAGGAAGGATTCCGCATCCGCTTCGCCAACGGCGAGGTCATTGACTTTTATGCCGACAGTCGCGACCAAAAGGAGGCTTGGATGAAGGTTCTTTCCGAGACCGTCGGAAAGGATATTGCGCAGAACAAGGGCTGGGCCGCCATGGTCCTTGAAAAGGAACGCAAGGAACGCAAGGAGCGAGCCCAGCTGGGGTCTCCTATTTCAAACTCAAACATTGACCGTCCGGCTCACGCACGCACTCAATCGCACGATGTCCATTCGCCCAGGCCCAACCCTAGCCCCGTCAAGGGTCATGCCCGAACGCAATCACACGCACCAGCTCCACCTCTGAAAGATATGCGCATGTCGCATGCGCCGCCTCCAAGGCCGCGAACACAAGAGTCTGCTGCAAAGTCGGGACGTAGAGATCAGGTTCGATCGATGATTTTCTAAAAGTCGCTTCATTTCTCTTCATCGTCGATACCCTTTTCTCTAGTTGCATTCTCGGGCACTCACTTTACTTACTGGCATCTTCTTGCGTTTTAGCTTTGCAACCACTCTTCGTTTTTCTACCGACTCAGATTGGTGATGGTAGGGTATGTGGGAAGGGGCGATGAAGTATGACGGGCGTGGGTGCTGCGCATTCATTTCCCGAATCAAACAGATCCGTACGCTAACCGAAGCGACTGTTTTCATTTTGTACGTGCGCATTGATGATGGAGAAGCGCGAACTTGCGGACGTGTGGTTTGCACTGTGTTTGCTGTCTAGCGTTTTCCTAGTTGTTTTCGTTATTTGTTGCATCTTGCTGTCGTTGCTGCGTCCTCTTCTTCTTCTTCTGTTTTTCCATTTCTTGTTAGTGTTGAACGGGTATTGGACGGCTTTGGCGTTGGCGGCTATGGGACCACGAGATTCTGCGTAATGATTTGATTAGCGATGATGATGTAGTGCAGAAGTTTGCTAGCAAGCTAAGGAAGAGGTGAATAAATGACTTGAGAGATTCAACTTGTGTGATATTATTTGGCATGTGATGTAGCGATTTTGTTTGTGTGTGTGTGTGTGTGTGTGTTAAAGTCGTTGTGATTGTTGGCAAGTGTATGTGTAATTGCCCTGCTAAGTACCGCGGTGAACTATTGCAACCTCTCGACATGTCTGCACGATATGACTGTATGTAAATGCATATGCTTAAGATCAGACTGAAATACTTTTAAGCATGAAACAAGCGAAAGTTTAATATACCTACTTTCTTATTACCTTGTTTTCTTGGAATTGAGCGTTTTCTTTTCTCCGTCAAATAGATGTTTTGTGCATCCATTTATCGTTTTTCTTCATTCAAAAAAATACCACATTTCAAAAACTCAGTACTTCCATCAACTAAACGACACAAAAGTCCTTTCTCAGCCCAATTAAAAAAAATCCCCTCCAATTATCATTCGTACATTTTTTTTCTTCTACAACTTGACTAATATTCTACATATATAACAGCTCAGAATTTAGGGGTTTGGAAAACAAATGAGAAAAGAAAAAGAAAAAGAGAAAAAAATCACCCCGTGGAAAATGGCTATCTTGCACGACAACGGAAAGATCAAAAAAAACACGGGAATGAAATCGGAAAAGAAATATGTCGTGAAACCGACGTTGTGTAACTTTGATATGGCAAAAGACAGTTATTTTCCGTTTGTACAAAAAGGTAACCATGCACGAAATACTAGCATGGTTGGCAGAGAAGAATATATACACGCAAAGCATGCATGCAAGCAAGCAAGCAAGCAAACAAACACCCTTTCTCTCGCTCCTTTTATTTCAACGTCCTTTCATCACCATTAAACTTTCTTATTTTTTTTCTCGATCGACTTTTTTCTACCCAGTTTTTTTTTTCGGTTTCGTTTGTGGGCGGAACACGCTCGATTACTACTTTTGGAAGTAAGAGTTAGGAAAATCTTTAATATTTTCCATCTGTTTTCTGGTATCCGGAAGAGAGGGGTTTTTTTTTCTTCTTCTCTCTCTTCGCCCTGAGCGGTGAAGAGGTAGGATTTTGAAAGGAAGAAAAGAGTATACTACTACTAGTACTTGGAGGAGGGGGAAAAGAGGGGTGGCACATGTTTCTTTTCATGTTCTACTACCACTACTAGTAGAGGAAGAGATAAAGACAAGTTAACATGGGCTCATCGCACTCAACACCGCCGCCTCTAGTTCAGGTCAGCGCTCCAAGAGGCAAGGTACTTGTTCCTCCGGGTATGTGGATATCCCTCGTCCATTCTTCTTCTCTCTTCTGTGTCCTTCCGCGCGGTGGCCCCCTTTCGCCGCACTTACGCACGCTACCACTACCCACGTCCACCTCGCCCCACTTTCCTCTATTGATACTATTGCTATGTAACTAAACTTTGTATTCCCCGATTGGCAGGGACAGCATTTACAGTTCATCCACCCCCGTCTTACTCTCGATCGCGGCTGGGTACCCGTACACGTAGTGCTGTTGGCCCCGTATACGCACCGTACGCTAGAGGAAGAGCTCGAGATGGAAGGGGACATGGTACGCTGGGATATGGATATGGCAGGGGAGGAACCGACATTGATATAATAGAGGAGACAAGCAGAGATGGCGAGAACACATTGGATAACGTGACGGTAGATGCCGAGATCAGAAGACGCAAGGAAGATTCGAAAGGATGTCTTACCGAAGGCATGGGCATGATGGGACCGAGTGGTGTGTTTGGACGGTTTGATACCCTAGGCTCGAGACCCAGGTCAGTACCCGAGATGCCTGGCGGAGGGGAATACGCAGGTATGCCAGTAGGAGTGCCAGCGAGTGGTATCGGAAGCGGCCAGCAGTCATCTGGCCTGCCTCCAGAGTACACGTCCAATCCCGATTTGGTTGGGTACGGCGAAGACGGGGTGATGCCCGGTACAGGCTTAGTCAGTCCTTATCCAACTTACCCCCCTGGCCCACTACCTAGTAGTAGTTCGCCATCGAGTAACGGTACACTTCCGCCGGAGCCGGTCCCACGAGGGCGGCCGAACCACTACGAGCATGTGCCAATGGGCGCGTATACAGATACGAACAAGGCAAGAAGCCCGCTGAGCTCACATGTCGATCTGCAAACCTCCACACGTCTGAACCACGGACAGTCTTCAGGCAAGAAGTTTGGGCCGTCAGGTCAAGAGTGTTTGGACGGCGATGCCTTTCTCGACGCCTGTATCTGTACCATAGACTGCAAGTGTCGAAAAAGCCAGCGAGTCTTGTACCGTGCACGCGAGGACCGTCGAAAGAACGACAGTGACACTGGCATAGAAGACCACGAGTATGTAAGTGGGGAGATACGATACATACTGAAGGACGACCTGGGGCGGAACTGTGATGACCACTCTGGATGTCGAAAGAGCGAAAGCAGTAGCGGCAGGCAAGACAGGAGGAGGGGGAAGGACACGAACAAGAACAAGAGCAAGAATAGGGGCAGGGAAGAGGGGAGGAGACTCCAGCAGCAGTTTCAAGGTTTCAAAGAAGACTTACTGGAAGCGCTAGACGAGCGTTTCGATGATATGAGGAAAGAAGGTCGTCAGAGACATCGAAGGCATAGCCCCGCACGGCCGCCTTGGCTCGGGGCATCCGGATCTGGACAAAGCCTATACTACATGGCAAACGGGCCCCATGTTGATGCACGCACGGCTAGGCAAATGGGCATGCCGAACTATAATCTGTACGGCGTGGCTCCATCAGGAATCGGACCAATGCCACATGGTATTGCTAGTGGCTTGGCCGCTGCAGGTATGTGCAGACATGGGGATGACATTTCCGACATGACCGACATGACCGACATGGGATACATGGGATTTGACAGTACTGCCATCGGTATGATGGATAATGGGTACATGCAGCCCCACATGGCCATGCTGAAGAAGAAGAAGAAGAAGGCGAGCAGGATGAGGAAAGCCATGCGGCCCAACTCCACATCACACCATGGGGCTAGAGCGGGAGAGCGACAAGACATGGGTACTGTGGAGGGCAATCGAAGGATGACCGTTGATTCGCAAGCTCCGGGTGGCCGCGGAGGGATGCTGGGACGTCACAGTAATAATAATAGTAGTAGCAGTAGCAGTAGCAGTAGCAGTAATTGTGATGGTCAGCAAAGAGGGGTGCGCGGAGACGATGTATGTGGTGGTTTTGACGTAGCAATAGTAGGGCAGGATGAATCTCGGATGCGGCCAAACTCAAGACAGCGGGGCGGGCTCGAATGTAGTGGTAAGCGTTGTAGTGCTGCAAAGCCTGATATGTACTGATAACTTGCATAGTAAAAGGACGTGGCAGTGATAGATTGGGTAGTCAGGACCAGGACATGGCCAACAAAGTCAACCTGGGTGGCAGCATAGTATACGGAAGGACCGACAGTAGTCGAAAAGGAGCAAGACAGGCTCGAGCCGATACGGATGACGACGGCGAGGACAACGGTGACTACGGATACTGAAAGACTGGACAGGCCCGGGGCGAAGACGCGCAGGGTGGGGCGGGAAGGGGAAGCTTCAGGAACGGTAGGTGTGGTGTTGGTGATCAAGGAGAAGGATTGGGGCCGGCATCCAGGCCGACGAATTGGAGGCCAAGGACCCTGGCCTCGTTCTTTCCAAGATGCGTCATGATTCGCCTGCAAATCATCACACCAGCGTGCGCCAAGTGTGGCGCGTCGGGTGCATCGAGAGATTGGGAGATGGAGACGCTTTAGATTGGCGTAAGCAGAGTGAGAGGCAGAGTGAGAGTGAGAGGGTGCTGACGGAGACGTAAGCGGTACACCTGCTGCGTCAAGTCCCAGATGCAGGCTGCAGTACATACATACATGTATGCTACATACATAGATTATGTATGCACTCTACTCAACTCCACATAGTATAAGGCATTGCTGCCGCGTGTGCAAGTAAGTAAATAATAATAGTAGTAGTAGTAGTCGTCGTCGTCGTCGTCGTCGCCGTCGCCGTCGTAGTCTAGCATCGGGTTAGCCCGTGTTGCGGCAGGCAACATGCTGGCCAAGGAGGGGTAGGTGGGTGGTTGGTCCATGTCTTTACGACGTTCCCAACAACAACAACCGCCCTGTCATGCCGTGGTTCAAGATAGATTGACGCGCCGAATCTCCTGCAATGTGCGTCGGGCAGCCACAATTCCTGCACTCGCAATGCCACATGACCAGTCTTGTGGTGCAACCATTGCAGTATTCCGTGGCCGAGACAGCTCCATCTCGCCTGTCACAAGCAACCACAAGTGCGCGCAGTACATACTCTCACACACACACACACATACACACATCCCACTACACATACATACACACACATACATACAAACATTATCATTCGCTAATCGCACCTCACAACAATCTGGTTGGCCAGGCCCAACCCCGAGCAAGCAACTTGTTCACAGCCGGCGGGAAAAAAAAATACCGCAGGGCATCAACCAGCAATACGAGTCCAATTTCAGTGGTTACTCATTATCCGGGACGCGTCAAACAAACAAAATTCCCACACGCCGTTCCAGTCCAAGTAGAGTTGGGATGATTCCGGCGCCCGCATAGATCCCTATCTCGGTAAATACCAACCAACTCCGCGCTAAACATGCATACAAAGTAAAACAGCAATAACAGAGAGTAAAGAGAATAAAAAAATTAGCGCATGGCAGCCCGGGGCCTGTAGCAGACTCTGTGTATGCCACGTTGTGTGCCGGACACGCTGAGTGATCCCATGTGAAAGCCGCGCCAAGCACATGTGCCTCGCTAGCCTCTCTCTACGGAGCACACCACCCGAGCCCAGTGTCGGCAATACCCACAGCCTTTGCAAGGCGCTTGCCCCTCTCACTGAGACTCAATATCGCGCACTTCTTTTCCGCCAACCAGTTCTCAAAGGCATTGATGTCGTCGGCGTGCATGTGAGGCTTGGCCTCGGACCATGCAGAATCCACCTTGTAAGTCTTGTGCCGGAGACGGGGAAGAGCCTCAGTGCGTAGATGCGATAGCTCTGCTGCATAGTAGGCATCATGTGACTTGAGCGGCGTCGAGAAGGATCGCTCGCGCGAACGAGAACGCTCAGAGGCGCCGAGTGAGATGGGTGAGCCAGGACACAAGAGATGAGAGGCTGGGAGGGATGATTCCACAGGCGATGCGCTTCCCGATTGAGAGGTGGATGAGGCACTGGTGAGGGGCGTAGACGAGTCGGATTGAAAGACGCTGCTGGCATTGCTTATTGTGCGAAACCTTGGCGACGGAAGCTGATCGAGCTGAGCCAGCGAGTCGTCAGCGGCAGGTTTGCCGTCGACATCACTGTCGTCGGAGCTCTCCAAGTGCTTGTCGAGTCGCTCGAAACCTGTGCGGAATTAATATCGGACCGAGGTAGGGATTGCACGTGAGGGACCGAGACGACACGTGATTGAAGAATGGGACAGGGCCGAGTGAGGATAACACATACCAGTCAAAACAGCAGCGCCAGCGTGTTGCAGAGCGGCCAGGCTGGATTGGACTTGCTCGGGAAGGCGATGCCAGAGTTCTTGGGGGCAATACCAATGGCGCAGGTGGGCGGGATTGTAGCTAAAGGCATCTCCGTCCTTGGGAGCAGCAACACGAGCGGCATTGAGGTAGGACGACGACCTCGACAGCGACGCTCCGCCCATGGGCCGGCAGCTGTCGCGACGAGGGCGGGCGGGGTTGTTGTAGAGGGGCTTTGGAGATTGTGGAGTAGCCATGGCGGGCGTTATGGTACGAGTGAGCAGGTCTGTGGCGTGGGCACGATGAAGAGTGGAGTGGGCCAGCGAACTGACTCTGTGGCGTGGTACTTGACCGGTGCTCTCACAAAGGGAAGGGGCGCAGGGGCTTGCACGGGTATTTGTAGGCAGCGAGGGAAGTTTCTAGACAAAGTGTACTTATAGGGAGCCACAGGGTGCGTGAGGTGGAAAGAGGTGAGGAGGGGGGAGGATGAAAGGATCGTGCGAAAGCTGGTGATCGAGGGAGGCAGACGTAGCGGAGTCAGCAGGAAGCAGTGTGGAGTTTTAGGCAGGGGGGTGCGGGTAGTGTGCGGGCGGCGTTTGGGTGTGCGGATGGGAATCAAAGGGTGGTGCTAGGCGGTTTCCCATATACCCGACGGGCAGCTACCACTACTGCTAGGTGTAGGTAAGTAGGTGTACGTCAAATGCTAACGCAGGCTCAATGGGGCAGCGAGCGCCGTGTGCGGCAAATGAGGCGCCTCTGGAGTGGTTGGGAGGGCGCAGGCCCATTGATTTGGCCCAGAGCCGGCGCTCCCAGGAAGATGCCAGCATGCAGGGAAAACGTTACGGTGGCCGTGTGAGGGGCAGCCAAGGTACGCCGGCCTAAGGTCGAGCGTGTGGGTGGGCGGTTGGTACAGTCGCAGCAGGTTGTGAGCCCAAACGCTCGGACGCCCTTGCTTGCCCTTGGCCTTGGCCTTGGCCTGCCCTGGCCTGTCCTGCCCTGCCCTGCCCTGCCTGGCCTGCTGCACGCCTGCTGCATGCCTGCTGCATAGCATTTTGCGGCCACGCTACTCAGCATGCAAGACGCTCCCAAAAAGACCGCGTTGGCAGTGCGCCACACCAGGCAGTGCCCAGAGGCCCGTCTGGGGCTAGAGCATGCCCCGAAAACGGTTGGTCGACATGTGTGAGTGTGTGCGCGCTGATGTGGACTGAGGTGGGCAAGGGCAAAAAAAAAACAAAGCAGCCACTTACGCGAAACATCAGTCATTGCCGCCGCATCCTATTCTCGGGATGAACCGGAACTGCCAGCTGAGGGCAAGGGCGAGGGCATGGCGCAGTGCGCAGTGCGCAGTGCGCAGTGCATCGGCATGCCGACAGCAGCCCCCAGAGCTGACACGGTTTGAGATTGCTGCGCGTACACTACACGCTGCGTGTGGCTGGGCTGGGCTGTGGGTGTGGGTGTGTGTGCAGTGTGTGCAGTGTGTGCTGTATGTGCGTGTGTGTGTATGTGCCCGACGGCGTCAAAAGCAGCCGTGTTTCAAAAAAGTCTGGCCGTGGCGTGTTTGAGACGCGGACGCCCGTCTGCGCCTAATCGCTCGACTCGACTCGGCTCGACGTCTATTAGCGTGCAACATGCTTCCACCGACGTGGGTGATCGTCACAACGACGGCAAAAAGACGCAAAAGCAAGCTTCCTCGCCCTTTGCTCTCGCCCTGCTCTTTGCCCTTGACAGCTCGCTCGCTCGCTCGCGAACATCATCTTCGCCCCCTTCCCGCTGCTGCTGCTGTTACTTGTGGCGCCGCGGAACCATGGCTCGCTCGCCAGCACGTTGCTGTGGTCTGTCTGTCGTCAGCACGCGAACAAAGTGGTGCAGAACCTGTTTGTCGCTCCAGTAAGAGCCTGTGCGGGACGTCATGGTGCAAGCGGCCAGACGACAGACTACTACGAGTACTCCTCCCGGCACCCACATCATGTTTCGGTCGCGCGGCAGCTGCTAGACTATGACGACTCTCATTTGCATTGGCCTACCGTGGTAGCATTGCACTTCATCCTTATCATTGTTTGGTCTTGAGCCCTTTTGTGCGACGCTGGGCCACGCTTGACACCCTTTTATCTAGCATAGCCGGCACCCGCCCCAGTAAATCCCTCATCACCCTACCCGGCGCTTTGCAAATAGTCCAAGTCCAAGTCCAAGTCCAAGCAATCTCAACGGCTTGGGCTTGCCGTTTCTCTTCCAGGCCATTGGGAACGGCATCTCGACTATTCCAGCCTATACATCACGCGTCTCGTTAGCACCGTCATCAGCTCATGTGATAGTCGTCCCACCTTTGGATCAAATGTACTCCTGATGCCGTCTCCACCATGTCGCTGACCTGGCCCTTTTCAAGCGCAAATGCTGCCTGCTCAAACTCCTTCTGCATGTCGCCTTTGCCAAAAAAGCCACTGCGCATCGTTAGCCAACCAGCTCTTGTCCCATCCCACTGCCAACTTACAGGTCGCCTCCTTTGCGGGCGCTGCTGCAGTCCGACTCGGTCGTTGCCAGCTCAGACAGTGACTTTGCGTTTGCATCACTCTGGCCCTGCTCGTATGCCTTGATCTGCTCGTGGTACTTTTTGATCATCTCGCGAGCCTCCTCCACCGAACGCGTGATGTTGGGTTCCCGCCAGCTAGCGGGGCGTCTACTGTCGCGGTGCTTGACAAGCAGATGAGCACATCGAATCTTGCCTTCGGTCGGCGCAGAGGCAGCAGGCGCAACGCCTTTGGAGCTGTGGTTGGCCGCCATGTACGCCTTGAGCTTCTCCGGATCGGTGCCCGCAGGCGGTTCCCATCGCGAGTCCTTGGTTTGCGCATGAAAGTAGTATGGCAGGTTCTTCGTGTTCGACCGGCGCACCTCCCACCCCTCGGGGAGACCAGTCTCGGCGGACGACTATGACGTGTGAGCAGCTGAAGGGCAGGCGTGGAGACGGGCTCGCGCAATGCGTACCATGATTGCTGCTTGTGTCTTGATGGGCGCAACCAGAGTTTGATGCAGTATAGACGGAGCGGCGCAGAGTGTGATGGGAGTCTTTGCAGGGGGCAGTCAAAGGAGGCAGCGTGGAGCGACGTCTGGAATTGAAGGCGGTGGCCAGGGCGATCGGCAGTCCCAAGTCGACAATGCGGGGGGGGGCTCTTTGCCAAACAAAGGGCCTGCACGCAGCACGGCAACAGAGGCGGCGCGAGCCAAGTGGGGTGGCCCGCGCTCAGTCACAGCAATACTGCGTAGTCAGCCCACGCCCATGTCTCGACCCCCAGTCTTCCTTCTCAGGACGTGCAATTGTCAACACGGGCGCGACTGCACAGAAACTACCACCTTTACGTACGCCAACTAGTGTACCACCAGCACACGACGGACCCCCCCTTCCTGTCTACTGTCTAACACCCCTACCGCCAACATGTCGTCCCCAGCAGCCCAGACGAGCGGTGTCAAAGGCGGCAAAGAGCCCATTCTCTTCCGCTTTTGCTCGGAATGGTGAGCCTTGCCGCCCTGCCAGACAGGGCAAACCGCTGACCAGAGGCAGCTCCAACCTCCTGTTTCCCCGCGAAGACAAGTCCGAGAACAAGTTGCTTTTTGCGTGCCGCACCTGCAACTTCACCGAGGAAGCACCCTCGTCTTGCGTGATGCGTCACGAAATCGCCTCGACGGTCGGAGCCACGGCCGGCGTGACAGCGGAGGTTGCCCAAGATCCCACGGTTGGTCCTTCCCTGTCCGATGTACAAGCAGCGCAAGCAGCACAAGCAGCCCGAGAAGCCCAAGAAGCCCTGTGTGAAGAGATGCCCTGCTGCACCATGTGTGGCATGCCCATCATGTGTGAAGAGTGCGGCGAGGAACCGGCCCCCGGCTTTGTGCTCGAGGCCGAGGACGAGGACCCGCAGGCAGCATTCGCTCAGCAAGACATGGGCGGCGACGAGGACATGTATGACGACTACGACGATTTTGACGAGGAAATGTGGCATGACAAGCATACACCCTGAATGCGCGCCTCGTGCGCATCACTACCAGTACAGTTGCTTGCTTGCTCTTGAGCGTGCTCGCTGACTGTGCCTGCGTCTAGTTACCACGAGTGCAGAAACAATGCACAGAGTGCGGCGAGAACGAGGCCGTCTTTTTCCAGTCGCAGCAGCGCACTGCCGAGACGGGCATGGTGAGTAGGCAATCAAGATTGGCAGCCATGTCTGACTTTTGTACCAGGCCCTGTACTACGTGTGCGCGGGATGCGGTCACGTCACACGCCCATCCGACAATAACTAGACGAATTGCGACATGACATGCATGCGGTTGGCGTTTGTTCTCATGATAAATATATAATATTGCGAGGAGTTTAGGGAGGGAGAGAAAAGCAAAGGAGGCCTTTAGATACCCCGTGGGTATGACGTAGTGACGTGAAGATGATAATATTACATTTGTTCCTGGGCTTTGGGAGAAAGTGCAAAGATGGATGCAGTCATGGGACGTGTACAAGGTGCTGCTTTTTGAATTTTGCTGTGCTGGCTCGTCTGGCTTAGACGTGCATTGGGGCGAGGGACAAGATTTTGGACCATTGCTTCTGCCTCAATTCTGCAGCGACGACGCCACTGACTCTGGATCCGATGGGCTCGCCGGCCTTGTTGATGAGGACGCAAGCATTGTCGTCAAACTTGACGACGCTGCCGTCTGGCCGCTGCCACTTCTTAGCGGTGCGTACGACGACTGCGTGCCGCACATCGCCTCGCCGGACCTTGTTTGCTGCGCTGATGGACACGCTGTTGCCGGTTTCAGGGCCAAAGTTGCGCTGCTTCTTCACCACGACGACGATGCGGTCGCCTGTTGTTGTCAGCCTCGATCCACCCCGGCCTTTGTCCTCGTCTTGGAGGCTGCACATACCGACTTTGGCAGGGCGCTTCGATCGCAGGACGTTGACGCACTCGACGATTGCGGCGCCCGAGTTGTCGATGCAATTGACGAGTGACTGGATTTGATGCATGTGAGCTGCTGTTGCTGTTGCTGTGCCCTTTGGAGCGTGGGCAGACACACCTTTAGTTGAATCATCGTGTGCGCCTGGTCTCTGTTGTCTGGTTGCTGGCGACGGCGGCAGTGTGCACTGTGTGCTGGCGGCGGCGTTATCGATCAAACAATTTGCGTGCAATGCCGCCGTTGCACGACCAAGTTGAAGTTGCTTGCCGGCCTTTCTCCGGCCGGTCGTCTGCCCGCTCTGCCCTCGCCCTCACCCTCACTCTCACTGCCCTAGGCGGCTCGCTTCTCGCTTACGCACCCCCTTCACGCCGCGCGTGAGATCTGGGACCGAGGCGGCAGGGGTCTTCTTTGAGCCCCAGCCCAGCAGTCCAGTATTAGTCCAGCCCTGTCACTCGTCTCGTCCTCCCGCCGGTCTCCAGACTATCCAGCCGTTTCTATCCTAGTCGTCTCCGTGCGCGCCCGACACTCTTTCCTTTGCATACTTGCACGCGTCGTTGTTGTTGCTGCTGCTGCTGCTGCTGCTCCCACTGCGTGAGACGCTCCTTCCCTTTCCTTGTTCTGCGCCTGCTGTTATAGTCGTACGCCACTGATCGCATGCCGCGCCTCTGCTCACCACCCGGCCCCCATTCACGTCAGCGAGCACTGCCAATCACCCCTTTCGCAACCACGCCCGCAACCATTTCCACTGTCCACACCACTTGAGACCACTCCTGCTCGCCCATCGACATCCGCCTCCCCTTTCCCGGCCACTGCGCCGCCATGGCGCCCTCGACCAAGCTCACGCTGGACAAGCTCGCGACTTTCGACGACATCATCACCGACGCTGTCATCGACAAGGTCTATGGCTGGTTCACCATCCGCAAGAACAAATGTAGCCGGTCCAACGCCCTGCGAGGCCTCGATGGCGAGCACGTCGCCGACATCATTCGCCAACACGTCATCTGGGACAAAGATCCTGCCGAGGCCGTGCAGAAATTGCTGCAGTTGCCTCGTCTGCGTCGGTTCCTGGCCGACCTAAAAGACGAGCGTGACCAGGAGCAGTTCAGGCGACATCTCCGCAGATATGTCAACATCTACATGCCCGACTGCCAGTTCGACGTGACAACTACGAATCGCTACACCATCACAGAGCACGAGGCCTCAATCACCGCACGGCGCGACATCAACCCACGTGAGGAGATCAAGTACCTGACTGGCGTTCAGGTGGCCATGACCGAAGAGCAAGAGAAGACTTTGGAACTACAGCGCAAGGACTTCAGTTTGGTCATATCCAGTAGAAAGAAGACCCGCTCTCTCTTTCTGGGCCCGGCACGCTTCGCTAACCATGATTGCGATGCCAACGCGAAGCTCACCACCAAGGGCTACGACGGTATGCAGATTGTTGCAATAAAACCCATTTCCGAGGGAGAGGAGATTACTGTGTCATATGGCGAGGATTATTTCGGTGATGACAACGAAGAGTGTCTTTGCAGTACATGTGAGAGCTTGCAACAGAACGGATGGGCACCAATGAAGCGAGTAGAGCGCAGCGATGTCGAGGAACCTACTGAGCAAACCGAAACCACAAATCATGAACAGGATGATGTCGATTCTGAAGACATACAGCCGTCTGTAAAGCGTCGGTGGGAAGATTCGGCCATTGAAGACCCCGAGTCTGACTCCATGCCGACATCCAAGCGAGCTAAATTTGAACAAAAGACCTCGCCGACAAAGCCTGACGAGTCGAACTTGCTGCGAATGACGGCATTGAAGAAAGCTCATAGTACATCGTCATTACGACAGGAAATTGCTGTTTCGAGCATAGAAGATCCATCCAACAACTTGGCCACACTCCCGCAAATATCACGCGAGATGCGCAACCAGCAGCGCGAAGGTTTCCTTACAGTGAGGACGGATGAAACCGTTTCTTCTAGGGAAATCTCGCCGCAATCTTCAATAGCGGCTGCATCGCCCAAGTCTTCAGAATCGACGGATGCCACATCAATCGACGAAGATCATGTTCAGGAAAGCGGCGAATCAAAAGACAAAATCGACACACAGACAATCCATGACCAGTCGACACTGGGAGTAACGATAGTGAAGGAGGAAGTTACTACGACTACGGTAAACGCCCCGTGGCCCTCTCTACCTGCAGCAGAACCAGACTCTATGTCCGATCTCAGCGAACTTTCTGAGAGTTTCGAATTTGACGATGGAAATCAGCAGATTGTCAAGCGCAAGCCACACCCCGTTATTCGAACCACTCGCTCTAAATCGCGCTTTGACGTTCAGAACCGCGTCGGAACGCCCATTACGATCGAAGACGGAGACGAGGCCGATTATGTCGAGAACACGCGCAAACCGGGTGACTATATGACTTCCAATGCCATGCTCTCCGCCAAAGGCTCCAAGTGGGTCAACTGTCACACATGTGAAATGGATTTTGTCCAGCAGGAGGGAAATAATACTCGCAAGGAGTGCCCGCGGTGTGAGCGTCATTCCAAACTGTATGGTTTTCCCTGGCCAAAGACGGAAAGAGAGGGTAAGCATGACCGAGAACAACGCATTCGTGACCATCGTACCGTGCACCGCTTTGTCGCACCAGATGAGGAGCGCCAGTTGAAGCGCGACAAGACGAGAAAGATGATTAGAGACAACATCAAAGAGCGGTTTTCAACACCGCGCAGTGCTAGAGATACCATGAGTTCGAGTGTCGAAGTTGATAGTGGACGCAAGAGAAGAAGAATCAGGAAGACCATGTAGGGCATAAATCTAAGAGCCACGCTTTCGAAAAGAAGGTACAGAAAGACTTGAAGAATAAGAAGGTGGACTCTGGCCTTTGTATATTGACATTTCCGACACACTCTTTCCACAAAATAGCATATAGCGAGGCGCTTTCGGCGAAGGAGCTTGTACGATATCCGACAATGATTTACCGCATGGACACGTTTTATTAATGGCATCAAGTTTTTAGTTCACCTACAATATTGAAGCGGCTTCCTATGAAGGTAGATGATGAATCTATTTTTTTTCACTAGCATGTGAACCTTACATGCAGTAAAGCATACCGTTTTGTATGAAATTAATCAGGTCTTACATTGCAAATACGAAGGAAGTGGCGAGGCGCTTTCAGCCCACGAATCTCGAATACGACGCGCAGACGCTCATCTGCCTCTTGAAGGGAGACGACAGTGATACGCATCGCTTTTTTTTCTCCACATGGACCTGATATAGCAGGAACGAAGACCAGAGTTTATTGCTCTTCAACATGCTGTTCGTCTTGCACTCCAAGAACATATCCACAGCACATACACCGCGAGAGGGAGGAGAAGAGGCAGTAAGAAAGGCAAAAGCCTAAATATAATTTTTAAATTCCAAACAAAGGACGTTCTAGAAGGCCCTACACTATACGAACGTTATCGCGGTACACAGGTGCCACCGCATCCGCTCATTGGCCACTCCGTCCACTCGCTTAATTTGGATAAATGCTCGTAAGGCCCGGATGGGGGACTTGGGTCCAGAGCGCAACACACGGAGCGGTTATATTAGAGGAGGGGGGGGGGCGGGGGAAAATGGACTCTATATGCGGTTGACGGGAGAAGCCATATCGAAAGTTGAGTGGGTGGGATCTACCAGGGACGGGATTTTTCTTTTTACAGTTTACTAGGGAGGAAATGGGGGAGGAAGGTTGATGATAAAGTGATTGCGGAGATTGAAGCAAGTGAGGCAGGGAGGAAACGGGGTATATAAAGGAGAGAGGGTTCATTGATTTTCTTTTCTTTTTTTCCGTTTCGTGAGAGTGGATTGAGAAGCATATTTTTACGATCAAAGTCTTGATAGCCCATTTACCATAAGGAACGACACGTTCATTCTTTCCCATCCCTTTTCTTGCTCACACAGACCGCCTCTGGCATCGTTTCTTTTTCCCCTTTTCCCCCGTCTCTACCGATTCCCCAAGGAAGAAAAGAAAAGAAAAAAATGCACGCCCGCATCCTTCCGTTTCTTAGCCTCGCGCTCCTCGCCGTCGCCGCTCCTCCTACTCCCCCAACAATAACGCGCCTTGTCTTCTCCGGCTCCGGCTGCCCCAACGACTCGGGCTCTGTCACGTCCGACACGACGACTCTCGGGGACTCGGCCGGCGTGTCCTTTTCCCAGCTCAAAGGCGACTCGACGAACAATTGTGGCGTACACATTCAGTCTTCTGGTGCAAGTCCTGGCTGGCAGGTTGCGCTCCAGCAGGCGGATTACGCGGGCAATGTGGAGTTGAAAGGAAACAGCGGGGTGAATACGCTTACGCAAGTTTTTTGGAGCGAGAATGCGGGGGATACGGTAAGTTTTTTCTTCTTCTTCTCTATTGTTCTTTTTTCTTTTCCTACGCTTTGAAAAGTCGATCACACACCTCGTTCTCCCGGAAAAAGGACAAACATGACTGACTGTTTTTGCTTTTTTTTCTCCGCTACAGGGTCTTCTCTCAGGTGGCTTGATGAGTACAGGGCCAGACGTCAAGGATTACGTTACGGTGCGGAGTAGCGCTTCGGATCTCAAGTGGTCCAGGTGCACGGGGTCAGATGGCAATCCGGGGATTCTGAATGTCAACTTTCGACCGGTTGTGCAGGGCGAGTTTGGGAAATATGATTTCAAGCATGCGAGGTGGACGCTTGCGTGGCGGGAATGCTAGCTGGGTGCTTTGTGTGGCTTAGATGGGGTAGAGGAAGACTTTTAGAGGGGGCTGTGCTATGTAGTTTTGTATATTCCTTTTGTTCTTTTCTCTTCTTCTTCTTCTGCACCGACTATGATACGATATGGAGTAAATGATGCATTCTAGTCCTTTTGATATACCAAGACCTCATAGAAGTATGAGATGACATATGAGATGTCATATGAGAATCGCACCAGGAGCACACCTGATTATTCCCATACGCCCTCAACTACAGTATCATAATGTAATGCCGCTTCCTGAGCATCTCCTCTCCAGCCACGCTCATCAAATATTCCTCGGTCCGCAGATCCCTGCCTTCTCGACCACCAGCTCAAGTTTATCTCCTCCCAAGCCGCGAGCGTTGAACTTGCTATGCCAGCATCCATCTTCATCTTCTCCAGCTGCCGCAAGTGCAAGTGCCTTCGCGTTGAGTTTCTTCAAGTCCTGTTCCTGATACTTCTTGGTCATTGCATTTGTTGGGTTCTTTTCGTGGCCGAGCTCGATTTGAAGGCTTCTAGCAGCATGGTTCGCAGCTTGTAAGGTAGTGTACACCTCTGGGCGCCCGTGAGGACGGTACACACGGACAGGTTCGCTAACCTTGCCTTTTCTACTGTCTGACTCCGCGTCGGAGTTTGCATCGGAATCATCAGAGTCGAGCAGCTTGAACAACCTCAAAACGTAGACAGTATCCGATATGAAGAACGTATCCTTAACGGAATGATGCGTCTGGTTTGCCAACTCGGAAACGTAATCGCGTTTGACATATATCTGCGTATATTGTTTTTTGGCTGGGTATTCGAAAGGCGCTATGATGCCAGTCAGAATCATGCAGCCGTGTTCGTCTCGTTTGCTGCTCTGCTCGATGGTCATGTAGCCCGGATGTTGTTGTTTGCTCTGAAAATATCTCTCCGCCTGTGCATTTGCATCAAGCATACTGGTAAACGGACGTACAGTTATTTCACTAACCAAAGCCTCTTTCTCGTCCTGCTCACTGTACCACTGCTTTTGAGAGATTGAATACTCAAAATAAGGTATTGCATCTGCAGAGATTCCGGGACATTGACTGAGATCCAAAATCCTGCTGCTGCTGCTGCTGCTTGCTTGGGCATCTGGGGTTCCTACACGAACAACCGGTGGAGATGCTTTGTCGGCATCTACTGCTGAACACGTTTTAAAGACGGGGCTAGTTACAGGCGTGCAATCTGGACTTTCCTTACCAGCCTTTGTGTTCATCCTAGTGCTAGCCAGAAACATATCCTGCTTCTTGGAGCTCGCGTTATTGATATCGCCAGTACCACATAGAATGCCAGAAGCCTTAACTTTTGGTAAAATTTGCTTCGAGGAAGATGAAACTGATTTAGGAAGTCGTGTGGGCTTTTGCAAAGCGCTAAAATTGCCCAAGCCTTGCTTCTCGGGTTTCGAGTCGCTGTTTAGTTGTCTATGATGAGTTATCGGACGAACCCCTTCAATGAACGAGGGTTTTTCTTCGGTGGTTTCGAGTATATCGGCTCTGCTCCTGGGTTTTACAGCATTAAACTGCCTCAAAGCACCCATCTCTCTTAACACAGGAAGTGTTTTCCCAGGCTTCTGAGCAACTTTCGCCTTCTCATTCTGTCCTTTTGGGAGGGGATTTTCTTGTGGGCTCTTGGTAGGTACTGGTAGTGCCGAATGAGCAGCAGTACTCACAGATTGCTGCAAAGGTTGTTGAGCCGGACTCGGTGGTAATGCCTGTAGTTTGTTCTGATCCAACTCTTTGTTCTTGCCCAAAAGTGCCCGAATGCGAGACTTATCGAGCTGCTTTGTTGGGAGGGATTTTGGGGTAGGCTTTGTCTGTAAGGTGTCTTGTAGCAAAGCTGGTCTCGGAGAAGCACAAACGTGATCATTCACATCTTTCATATCGTTGTCATCGTTATCATCGCTATCCCATATAAAGCCGCCTTTAGTCTTCGGTCGCTTCATAGCACTGCTAGAAGTGTCAATTGGCAACGGCCGCTTCTTTGACGTAGCAGCATTTGCCTTAGCGGTATATGCTGAAAAGTTATTTCGGGATGACATCTTAACAGCCTTCTAGATGTCTGGTCTGCTTGTTGTAAGAAGGACCGATGATTTCTCTGCACTATGCGGAGGGATGTGGATTCGATTGCTGAGCTTCTAGGATGCCTGCTCTCGGTAGCAGTGGACTCACCAGGTTTATAGATCAAATGTATAGAACTTGCTACCAGAGAGATAGTGAAGCTTTAGTAAGAGCTTAGGCTTCATGTGGCACTAAAAACGAGGTAAGGCTTGGTAAAGTTGACTTCACTTGGTGAGGCCCTCCGAAAACATCAGTGCTATAGAAGTCGATAGATGTTTTAGATCTACTGCCAGAGATACAGGCAGATGAGGTGAGAGATCTCTCGACAGAACGCATATCTATATGTCTATCTTGACAATTCTCTCTCGTGAGAGTCAGATGCCTGAAATCGATATGGTTGCAACAGAAAGACAACAGTGGCTGAATTTGAACTGAGCGTTTTTCCCGTCAGCATGTTGCTACTCATCATCAAAGGTCAGCAAACGACAGGTGGATTACAAGGAAGTCAGATAGAATCCTGAGTCAGGCACTACTTCCCAAAGTACTTGTAACAAGTGTGTTGCGCTAACCAATTTTGGGTCGTGCATACTCGTCCTCGTAGATGTATCAAGTGTCGATTGCCGAATTTGCAGGATTTGCCGCTGAGTCATCATGCCCCCACACTCTTGAAGGAAACCACGCCCATGAAATGTATCGAACCCGATGCACTTGCGACATTGAATTTTAAGTCTATTCTCCAAAATGACCCAAGGAGTATCCGAAGGCCCCGAGATACCAGTACCTGACAAGGCACTGAGGGATTTGGCAAAAAATGTGGCCAAGGTCTTGCCTAATTTCGAACAGGAAGAGGCGGCTGCTGGTGTGAAGTAAGCATGCAAAGTCCGTGTGCTTTGCTTTGATGATATCGAACAAGACTAACAAAGTCTTAGAGAACTTTACAGAATTCTTATTCCTGTTCTGGAAACTGCAGATCTGGCAGATTTGGAGAACAGTCATCGTGCAGCTGCCTCGAATGCACTATGCGCAATCATTGAGCACTGTACAAATTCTCAATGCCAATACGCGCGGGAAGAGATTCTAAATGATGCAATTTTTATCAAAGCCTTCAACATCTATCTTCAGCGATCCGGCGACGCAAAAGGCAAGTCGATGAGGCAGATGCTTTTAGTTCTTACAAGTGTGATTACCAGAGACCAAAGCCTACGCGCGATCGAGCTTCGAGAAGAAGCTACTGCCTGTTTTCTGGATATCATCTGTGAGCGTGAAGATAGGATCAAAGTAAAGCCAGCTTTACAAGGTCTTGCGCACTTTTTGCTCAAGGAAGTGGTCTCAGTATCGGAGTTGGTGGATCTTTACAGAAAACAGGCGAAGCACTCATCTGGTGCAACCGAAGATATGGCAACTTCCCAGACGGTCTTTCTGTCCTTTCTTGCCTGGGTCGTTCATCATGACACTTCCCTATCTGCAGGCCATTTGATCAAGAACTTCCTCACAAAGGCTCGCACCTCTCCAGATTATTGGAAGCAGGAAGCCAATGGCAGGCACCTACCGCTTTGGATAGAACCGGTAGCGGAAACTTTACGAGACTGGCCGGATCGGATACAGGAATTCAAGACCCATGTATTTCCTCACTGTTTCCTACCAAACATTGCCGAATACACACCATTTCTATCGTACCTTCACTTTGGTTCATACATTCCGCACAATGGTGTGCTACCAGAAGAACTATCGGAGCCTAGCAGATTTACTTCATATATTGATGGACCAATGGAATTCAGAATCTTGCTTGCAGCAATTGCAACTGGTAAAGAGCTGACCATCGTAAAAGACTACGGTAAGAAGACGGCACCGTGATTCGATATTAATGTGTTCAGACATTTACTTACTGACCATTCAGATTGCAAAGTGCGGAGTAGCATAGAAATTCGCGATGGCGCTATTTATTTGCCTGACAACATCGCAGGCAAATGGATGACTGATCCCGAGCCCGAAGTCAGGCTTGCAGGGATGTTTCTCTCAGTCTACTCAACTTCTGTCACAAGAGTTGTCAGCAGTAGCGTCTTTCAAGCATTGAAGCGTAACCTCATTCACCTACATACCGATACAGACGCCAACTTTCGAAGAGAGGTACATGGATATACACAAAAGTTGTTCGACCGCCTAAGGGCAAGCACAGCCACTCTTTCGAAAGGAATGCTGAAAAATAGAGTTGCTGATCAAGCGCGACTGCCTTTTCCAAAAACCGCATTCGATTCCGATATCTCCGTTTCCCATCCCAAGCAGCAAGACTCGCTTCTGGAATCACTTTCGTTTGTTGTCTGGTATATAAGGTTTCTCGAGTGGGAGCTGCGCCCAACTGCATCCTATCAGAGTCGTATTACAGCCCTTAGGTCTCTTATCATTGTGCTACGTTCAGGCGTGGATCCTGGCGTTCCAAACAATAGTCTCTCAAAGTCAGCGCAAGGGCAGTTGAACTGGGCTCATGGAATTCAGATTGGAAACAATAAGCTGATCCGATCGCTACTGGATCTGATACTAGACCCCTTTGATGACGTTCGAGATGCGGCCGTGTCAGTTCTACAGCTCTGCTTATCAGCCTTACCAGAACTGGGTAAAAGACGTGTGATGTCGGCAGTTCCCTCATTCATCGTACGAGCAGAGACCATCATGCTCCGGACCGGACGAGCTGACCAAGCGGACGGTGTTGCTCGAGCCTATGGAATGATCTTCAGCTCTGCAGAGAACGGAGAAGTAGCTCTAGGGAGTTCTTACTTTTCTACAAAGTTCCAAATTTTTGAGCATCTCCAGAAACAGCTCAAGGATACGTTGGCTATAGCACATAAAGATCTTTCGCAGGCTGTTGATGGACAGCCTGTACATGGTATCTTTGCGGCATTGCGATATGTGGTGGATCAGCCTGACTTCTATGCTTTCGTATCAGACATGTCACCAGGTGCCTTCATCAATTGGAAACGTCTTCATGGCGATGTTGTAGAAAGCATCGAGAGCCTATGGAACTGCGTTTACCACGTCCTATGTGCAGATGCGCCAGAAGGGCACATTCCTGAAGAGTTGGAAGACGAGGGAAGTTTAGACACCAAAGAAATTCTGAGCTACTCATGGAGAGGTCTCAAGGAAGCAAGGTAAGTAATTGGTGACTTCCGAGGAGTTTTATTAACATCTTGTAGTGTCTTACTTAGAACCATCATTTCAAAAGCCCCCGTGGGTGATGCAGAGGGTGATCTTGTAACACCGCAGCTCTTCGAAAAGCTAGGGCGGCTATGTTTCACCCAGCTGTTGGAGCTGCGGCATCGAGGCGCCTTCTCGACTGTATCCCAGACCTTTGTAGTTTTCTGTCGTCGTTGTGTAACGTCGAGTATTCCCTCTCTTCGCGCGTTGCCAGAAGCGTGGTATCAGGTACATCACGAGATTGTGTAAAATTTCAAAGCATTTGTTTTAACGTATACTAGGAAACCCTACGATCTATTCAAGACAAGTCCGATGCCATCACTCGGAGATCTGCAGGTATCCCAGCGGCCATGTCTGCCCTATTGGCTGCTGAGCCACAGACCAACGGCGACCTCTTCCCTCGAGCGATGAAGGATCTTACTGCAGAAACACTGGTCGAAGCACGAAGCGCAAACATTGAAGAGAGTCGTCTTCCGCAAGTACATGCACTTAATTGCATCAAGGAGATATTTACCACCTCCAAGCTCAGTGTCGTTTCCGAAGCATACATTGGCCAGGGTCTTGAGTTAGCCGCAAAAACACTCAGCTCACCTATGTAAGAAGGTCTGATTTTTGTCTTGCTCCACACTGACTTCTGCCGTAGATGGCCTCTTCGCAACTGTAGTCTAATGCTGTTCAAAGCCCTTATAGAGAGGTTGCTTGGCAGTGATGAAGCTCAAGATTGGAAAGAACACGATCGAGCTAAGACGTCACGCTTTTCTTACGACAATTACCCCAGCCTCGTCACAATATTGCTTGAATTACTGAAGCCGAATGGCAACCGAAAGATTATGGACACGCCCGAGACGGGCAGCTCGCCTCTTGATCTGCATGGCGCTGAGGGTGTCTTTCCAGCCCTCCAGATTCTGCGTCAAGCAAGACCACCGCCTGAATATATTTCAAAGATGCGGGAATTAGTCAAGGAGCTTATTCCAAGCCCGCATTGGCACATGCGAGACATGGCCGCAAGAACTTATGTGTCGCTATGTTCCCCAAATGAGGGGGTTGAGGCCCTTGGTCTCATCCTGGGCAATGCCCCTGTCAGCCGCAATGGACAGCATGGAATGCTCCTGGTGGTGAAGTATTTGTTGAAAAATATTCTTCGCAACTCGAGCCAATTTAGTGGGTTTTCCCTTTCATTCAGTCCCACGATCAAACTAACCATTTACAGCCCTGGACCGCTTTGCAAGTGTAATGCAACAGATTTGCAGAAATGGACCCATATGGTACGCTTCAAGCAATTGTATGTTTGTCAAATCCGCCTTCCTAGACGTTGTCGGCTTGTGTGGCATGAATATGCTCCGCCAAACCAATACCGTCTCGGTGATGGATAGCTGGGCTGACCTTGCCGGGTCCGTCTCCATTGGTCCCGAATTCAATATCGGACCTAGTAAACATCACGGAGACGATCTATTCCGCAGTTCTTTGGCCCAAGTCTTCACCATTGACCGCGTAATCATGCGGCAAACTTCACTTGGCATCATGGTCTCAGACGAATATCAAAGCATTGGCGACGCTCTGATGCTTCTCGCAGCCCAAGACCCAGATACTTGTCTAACCGCTCTACGCACACTAGACACTATAATGAAGTCTACGCCGTCTGAAGACTTGACCATTCCGCTCTCCTTGGTACTATGCCACATTCACCGTGTCATCTTCGAAGCCACAGACGCAGAAGTAATCTCAGCCGCCCAATATGCACTCGCCTCGGCCCTCACAAACAGCCAACGCCTCCACCACAAGTTTTTCTCTCTCACTACACCAGAACAGATCATACTCACCTTGGCCAAGCTAGAATCCCAGTGTCTCGATGGACCGCCATCAAACATGCAAAGCGGCTTGCATCTCGTCGCTTTCTTCCTCGACCACGCATACGCTTCTCTAGCTGAGCAGCGCAAAGACGTCCTATCCGCAATGTCACGATGGATCCGTCTTCTTCGCAAGACAATCATTGACACGAATCCCTTTGACACACGCTTCGCTGCAGTCCAGTCTCTATACGCACTGCACTCCACTCTGACCGCACGCCCCATATCAAACGCGGCACGCGCCTTACTCCTGAGTCTCAGCCTGGTTCTCTACGACCTCCTCAATGACGACGACGACGAAATCCGTGATCTAGCGGCGCGCACAACGGGGAATTTGCTTCGCGCCCAGGGATACACGACGTTGGTGTGCAAAGATACCGTGCCGATACTGAGCAGCTATCGTTTAGCGCTGTTTACATGTAATACTTTCCACTCAACATCGGGAGGTGTATTGGCTGCTCAGGCTCTGCACCGTCTGGCAAATGCCAGTACCACGGGAGAAGCACTCTTTTCCACGCCTTTTGTCGAGACATTCGCGCGGGAGAGGCAAGAAGACATGGCGTTGTTTGCGCAAGAGAAGCAGAATCTGTACAAGGACGATGTTTTGGATGTGCTCCTCTGGTCGCGCGTATTACTTCACCTGCCTGCCTCGTCTGTCTCTTTGACGTTGAAGTCAGGACTGGCAAAATGGGTGGCGGATGGCCTGGCTGCGCTCACAGAAACTGCGACTAAGGAAGAAGATGGGGCGTTAGGATGGAGTTCGAAAGCCGAAGTCTTTACGCTGGGGATGCGAGTCTTTTGCGGGGCCGAGGTAGTCATGGGATGGGGTGATGTGAAGACAAAGGGTAACATGATGGTGGCACTGGGCAAATTTTTGCATGTGGCAAAGAACAAGGGCGTTCATGGCTTGTGGATTGAGAAGATAGAAAAGGTGGTAGAGAAGGAGGTGTTGCGGGTGCTGGGCAAAATCAAGGAGAGCCTGGACGAAGTATGAGGTGCACAATTCGAGTGAGTCACGTTTTTCAGGTCAGAAATAGAATGAAGTAAAGAGTTGATTTCCAAAATGATCAACAATAAATGAACAGCTGGCAAGAAAGGAAGCAATGTCATCCCCACAAAAAGAAAGTTTGAGAGACGGTAGAATTATCACGCAAAGTGTTTACCGCCGATAAAACATGTTGATGGGACTATCGCTTACTTGCCGGCTCACACTCCCATACTTGGCCTGCCATGCAAAGAAATAAAGCAAGGCGGCGAGCGGCTGTCCCACAAGACAAAAACTGACCCAGAAGATCATGTTACCTGCAACCTTACCTTGAATGCACCTAATCTTCTGGATGACATCGGTGAGCGCAATGAGTGGAATCTGAATCATCATGCCCGCAAATGCCACACCAATGATGTTATGCGTGGGCACTCCGACAAGCAGCTCGTGGAGTACACCGGAGAAGAAGAAGACAAGGATCTGGGCCACGGGAGGAGGAATACCACGACCGACTAAAGGAGAGTAGATGTGCCGACGCATGAAGTTTGTCACCGGTTTGTTCCAAGTTGTCCAGTAGGTGCGAATAGACGACACATTCCACCAGTCACCGTAGAATTCCCGGTCGCCAAAACGCATTACTTCGGCAAGGGCATTGAGCGCCGACTGGAAAAGAGCAAAGAAGCCGCAGAGCCAGCAAAATACGGAGATGGTGGAGAGCTTCATGACGCGCTCGACAATAGAGGTGAAGTTGAGGGTGAGGACCTTGTCGAGGGAGTTTTGCAACAGTGGCGCAGCGTATTGAGCTGATGCAATCCAGATGACGATGCTGAGGCCCGCCACCTCGAGCAATCGTTTGAAGACAAAGTCCCAGCGTACTCTGTCCGTTCGGGGATAAACAGGCTGGTAGACAAGAGTCGGTGCCCACCAAAAGTAGCAGAGGTTCTTCATGTTGATGTTTTGCGGGTATGGGCACGAACTGTATAGCTCAGGAAGCGGATCGGCCTGTTTTGGGTGGAGGTAGGCATGGCGCAGGTCGCGGTTCGTGAGTGCGTATGAAGCGCACTTCAAGAAGACGATGACGGCGTGCAGTTCGCATAGGGTGCCAATTCCCGGGTGGTAGATGTCGTAGTAGACATACTTTGTGGCGATGTAGAGATTTGCGACAGCATTAACGCTGTGGAAGAAGGCTATCATGTACCAGGTCAAGTTGAAACTGCGCAGTGCTGCTGCGTACTTGGCGGGACAATCGTTGTCATGCTCCCCGGCGATGCGGGCATGCGCTCGGTTGGCCTGCCAGGCGGCGGCCAGTTCGATGAGGTATGTGACGAACAGGTGGGCAGGGACGAGGAGGTAGAGGAGCAGGCCGGTGGTGACGTCGGAGCGGCTGTAGTCGTGACAGGAGAGACATATAAGGACACCATACTGGTCAGGTTAGCATGGTCAAAGACGAATGCATAGCGGAGACGCACCTTTTGTAGGTTCACAATCATCAATCGCAAGTTGGACACGACTAGTCCTGTTAGCCATGGGCGAGAGTGGTTGGAGTTGGGGAATGCGTACTGAGCACCAGGATCATGAGATTCCTGAAGCCAACAAAACTGGGGCTCTTGTCTGCATCGTGGCTCAGGCACGAGGTGCGCGTCAGGGCGTGTGTGGCGAAGACATGGCGATATTTTGTGTCGCGGGCGAATTTGGTGGTTTTGTTGGTGGTGGTAATTGTCGTGGTGGTCGCAGTAGGAGTCGCGGATTCTGAGGCGTCCTTTCCCCGGAAGACGGCAGTGTTGGCGGCAGGGGGGAAAGGAGAGGCGTCAGTGGCAGAAGAGGAGGCCATCTGGGTGATTGTCGTCATGATGGGAGGGCAAGGCGACTGGTTAGTAGTAGTATATAAGGCAAGGCGACTTGTGCCCAGAGCGCAATGGCTCAGGGTGGTAGTAGCGACTGGGGCTTGTGGAAAGGTGCGGCAAGCACAAGGGCGGGAAGAGGCTTGTTTGAGCGTGAGCGTGGGCTGTGGCGGGCGAGGTGGATTTGTATGCTCAGCAGCTGGGACAAGCCCGCCATGACGGCCACCCTCGGTCTCTGCATTCTGGGCTGCTGAGAGATACGAAGGCCCGTCTGAATTTCTGTTGGGAGTTGGCCAAGCGGGGGGTCTGCACGGTGATGCACCTCGCCCACATCCTAGTACCGAGGGGATTAGTTCTTGGTAGAACATAGGCAGAGCCGTTGGATGGTGGCTTGTGCTTGCCCCCCATGTACGCGCCTCGTGTGGCGTAGTGTGGCTTGTATCTTGTGGCTCTGTGGCTTGGCGGACGTAGGACGCGACAAAGCACGCGCTGCACTGTACTACTACCACTTGCGTACATACTCTTCCTGTGCTCTACATACAACCGCAGCTGGCCCATCGTCACCAATCCTCTCGTTTCCGTGTCGTCCCTCTTTGCTGTGATCCCCTTGCCCATGCGCACCAGCTAGGCAAGGTTGTCTGGCAGCAGCAGCCAGCATGGAGCGCGAGTACCATCGCCCCGAATTCGAAGGCGGCCTGCGTCCCCGACCGAAACGTGAGTATCACTACTGCACATGCCTGACCCCCAATCCCAGTCGACACTCTTTCTATCCATCATGCACTGCACTTTCTGTGTCGTGCTCGCGACATGGCAATTATTGGCCTTGGGAGCTGACTCGAGTCTGCAGGTGCCGTCACTGACTATGGCTCGACAACGGTGCAATGGATGCGCAATCGGCGCCCACGGTACAAGAACATGCCCAGACCAGAGGTGGAGCGGCCGAGTGCAAGCTACATTGTCGATATGCAGCCTCCTGCAGCGCGCATCGCCAGTGCTGCCGAATCCATACCTGCAAAGGCGGTACATTCGTCGCTCAACAAAGTAAAGCATCCCATCAACGTAGTCAAGTGGACGCCAGAGGGGCGGCGCTTGCTCACAGGCTCGACTAGCGGCGAGTTCACGCTGTGGAATGGCATGGGCTTCAACTTTGAGACCATTATGCAGGCTCACGAGGCGGCTATTCGCGCTGTCGAGTACACCTCTACCGACGACTGGCTGCTGTCTGCCGACCAGACCGGCGTCGTCAAGTATTGGCAGACCAACTTCAACAACGTCAAAGAGATACAGGCGCACACAGAGGCTGTGCGGGGGCTCGCCATAGCTCCCACTGACTCCAAGTTTGTCACATGCGCCGACGATACCACACTGAAGATCTGGGACTTTGCGTCAAGTACCGAAGAGTCGACGCTGACAGGACATGGATGGGAAGTCAAGTCGGTCGACTGGCATCCGCACAAGGGGCTGTTGGTATCGGGATCAAAGGATCACCAGGTCAAGTTCTGGGATCCGCGGACAGGCCGCTGTCTGACGACACTTCATGGACATAAAAACCCAATATCAAAAACCATGTTCGAGCCTGTCCAAGGAAACATGCTAGCAACCTGCGCCCGTGATCACACCGCCCGCATCTTTGATATCCGAATGATGCGCGATGTCTTACTGCTCAAGGGTCATGAGAAAGATATCATTACAATGGCGTGGCACCCCATGCACAAGAACCTGTTGTCTACGGGAGGTGTAGATGGCAGCATTCATCATTACCTCCTCGACGAGCAGAACCCTCCCCCAGGTGTTCCGCCGTCAATATCACCCTATGATGCTGCAGACTCGCAAAACGCCCCTTCGCAAACTATATATCCCGCACACAGCTTGCAATACGCTCACGACTTTACGGTCTGGACCATGGACTGGCATCCGCTCGGCCACATCCTCGCCTCTGGCTCCAATGACCGTGTCACTCGTTTCTGGACACGCCCCCGACCTGGCGATACAAACTACATCAACGATCGGTACCATATTGGCCAAGCCGCGGCAGAAGCCCAGGGTACCTTTGACCGCAGCCAAGGCCGACGACAGAAGATGGAAGAAGAAGAACAGGAAGCAGAGGATGAAGCAGAAGGCCTGGTTGACCAGAAACTCCCGTCTAGGAACATGGTCGGTGCGCCCTTCCTTCCCCCAGGTCTCTCACTTCCAGGACTCTCTGCACCATCAGATGGCACTTCAAGCGCTCTCCCAGGCATTGGTGGTGCAAGCCAACATTCTATTCATCCTCCTCCGCCACCACCTCCACCGGCAGGAATGCCTTTCCCGCCCCAACCAAACGCAAGCGGCGCACCCATTCCTCCTCCCTTCTCAGGCATGGACCCATCTCACATTGCCCAACTCATTGCCTCTGGCTCTCTGCCGCCTCCTCCGCTCCCCCACGGCCACGGCCCGCCTCCACCTCATGGCGGAAACGCTACTGCTCCTCCTCCGTTTCCTCCACCCCCGAATTTCCCTGGTTTCCCACAGGGAATGCCACCGGGTATGCCGCCTCTTCCCCACGGCATGCCTCCTCCTGGTTTCCCTGGCTTTCCGCCTCCGCCACCTCCTGGTGGATTGGGCAATGCTGCGCCGCCGCCCGGATGGCCTGGCCAACTCCCGGTGCAACAGCCGCAGCAACAACAGCAACAACAACAACAGCAGCAGCAGCAAGGATTTGGAGGTGGAGGTGGGCAAGGTGGTGCAGCAGGCGGCGATGGTCTGGTAAGGAAGAGAGCGCCATTACCGGATCAGCAGGATGCGTTGAAAGCAGAAATGAGTCAGGGGAGGTATAGGAAGGCGAGGTAATCATTTTTAAACGTCTACGTATGAGTGCTGCGAGGGAGTTTAGCTACCAATTGTCCTAGTGTACGAAGTCAAGATTATGCGAAGAATTCACTTTTACGAGAGCAGTGATTTTGGCGTTCTTTTCTCCTTCTCCTTCTCTTCCATTCTTTTCCGATCATGAGGAACTCTTGAGAAGAGAGGGGGGAATAAAAAGTGCTTTATTAATCGATACTTTTACTCCTTGTCCTTTTTACTGTAACGGGATATCCAAACCACTCTTTACATTTCCTCACAAGGCTTCCAACAAGCCCGCATCCGTTATGTCCTTAAGACACTGCACTTTTGCCTTCTCCCGCAGCAAGGCGTCGCCCCCACTCTTTACAACCGCCTCACCAAAATTCCACAACTCGTCTAAAAATGCAGGTACAAATGTGCCAGGGCCCTTGACATCGTGTCGCTCAGCAGCAATCTGAGCCGCAATTTCGTAATGCAAAATGGCAGCTACAGCGGCATGAAGTTTATCCTCGGGGTTAGCAGCGAGGTAGGCGGATATTGTGGTACCTAGTGTACACCCACTGCCCGTGATACGACCGAGATACTCGTGTCCGTTCGCAATGGCGTATGTGCGTATGCCATCGGATACCACGTCTATCGCGCCTGTCATGAGGACGAGGTTGCGCTCGCGAGCCGCGAGGCGCTGGACAAGATATGCTTTTTGGGCTAGCGAGAAGAGCGAGGCGCCACTGTCTACACCGCGTTGCTGCGAGCTGTCCGTCACCGTGTACCCGGATGCACGCGCTACGGCTAGAATCTCTTTTTCGTTTCCTTTGATCAGGTCGAAGTAGCCGGTGCCCATGAGGGTGGAGAGGGTGGCGCGCCGGACGGATGTTGCGCCTGCGCCTACGGGATCGAGGACAATGGGGCTGCCGGCGGCGTTGTATGCGGATATGGCTTTTTGGTAGTTGAGAATGCCGTCAGGAGTAACGGTACCCATATTCACGACCAAGGCACCGCCGAGTTGGGACAGGTCGTGGGCTTCCTCGCCGTAGTTTGCCATGATAGGCGAGGCGCCAATGGAGAGGGCGACGTTGGCGGCAAAGTTTTGGACAACGAGGTTGGTCATGTTGTGGGATAACGGACCCAGCTGCTTGACCCTTTGTGTGCCTTTGACCGCTTGGGCTAGGAGAGACGTGATTTCGTCTTTATCCTTCTCGTGCCGAAAGTGTGGCTCGGTCGACTTGAGTTTGAACGGTGGTGGGGTTTTGAGAAGCTTCAATAGGTTTTGTGAGGCAGCACTGGGGTCAGAGGCCCCGACTATGGCTGATACTACGGCAACGCCGTCAATGGTTTTGGGCTTGGGTTGGATAGGTGTTGGAGCAAGAAGTTGGTGAGTTACGCGCTGCACATTCGAGGCGTTCACTCCACCTATGCACACTGTCTTGACGTTCTTTTCTGCTTCGCTCCCTTGGTCAAGGTATCCCAGTATCTTGCGAATACCAGGAATGCCGATTATTTCCTTTGTATTTTTCTTTGTGTTCGTGGCGTAGAGAGTGCCAATGCCCAAATAGTCTGCTCCTCGTTCAACGGCAACCTGGGCCTCTTGGACGGAAGAGACGGTGGCGCCGATGATCTTGTCTTTGCCCAGGATACCACGGGCTTCGACTACGTTCATGTCATCCTGCCCCAGATGCACACCCTCACAACCGACGGCCAATGCGACGTCAACACGGTCGTTTATAACAAGGGGAATGCCGTGTGCTCTGCATCTTTCATGCAGGGCTTTTGCTGTCGAGATGAGGAGGCCGGTGTCAGAGGTCTTGTCTCTGTACTGAACAATGGTGACACCGCCGAGTAAAGCGTGTTCAACAACATCAACCAAGTTGCGGGAGCCGAGAATGGCTTCTGTGGAGTCAGTCACGAGATATAGGCTGTAATCTACTTTTTGACCGCTCATCTTTTCCGTTTTACATACGTTGGGGAACTCCAAAACAAATGTGACCCCAGCATGCAAGGTCAAGACGTTGGAAGACGCTATCGGAGATGACGCAATCGAGACGGGTTCGGCGCAGGCCTTCAATTGGCTGGAGAAGAAGCAACAATGGCTTCAGCAGCACACGTTTGCCATATAGGTACGTGCACGGTATTTGTGCGGGTGCAGGTGTGTGTGCGTGTGTGTGCAGTGCTCTGAGATTGCTGTGCGGGGCTCAACCACGGTGCCCCTCGTTGGAAAAAGCACATGTCGACAATGATTGGCAACGGGTCTCGCAACCTATATGTAGTACACAAGTGAATACATGCGCATGCTACATCCACGTGTGTCGGCTGCTATCGCTGAATTCTGGCCGGCCATGCACATGGTTGATGGTTGAGAGTGGAGAAGGGTGGCTTGGAAACGTGTTCTCTTCGCCACCACATCCCGCTGCTTGTGCTGGTGGTCAGCAACCAGGCTGCAGAGGCAGAAAAATGTTTGAGCGGCAAACTAGGTGTAGGTGTAGGTGCCTTTGTCGCTGTCGGCCGGCTTTATGCAGCAGCAGCTTGCTGAAACAATGCCTGGCAATGTGGTCTGCTTTGTCGTTTGGCCCCAACGGATGCGTGTTGGATGACTTCCATGTATGTAGTATACACGACAGCTGGCGGCCTCTTGCTCTGGCGGCAAACACGCCTGCTCTGCAGGATCAATGCCTGGCACCCGCGTGAACATGCAGAAAAAAAAACCGTGCAATGCAAGGCTGCGGGCGTCGGGAGGGGTGTGGGCGGTTTGGGAGGGCGGATTGTGCTAGTGTGGCTCGGCAAAGTCGAAAAACTAACCTCTGCCGTCCCCATATAACTTCTCTTGACCACCCACGACTCGCTCCCACACGCACACTCACCCTCTGCACCGCCCAAAAATCCATCTACCGCATCCACCAATCCACACCACTGCCTCACCACGGGCATCAAGAGCACAACACTCTCAAACCCCCTCACCCGCCTGCTTGTCGCCCTCCCGCGACTTGCCCTAGCCGCCACCACAACCACCCCACGCCTCGAGGCCACACGCACAACCCGCTCCTCAGAGTTGCCAGCGACATCAGGAGTATATGTATTCGCGCCAACGCTACGCCTTCCGAGTCGAACCTCCCCCCAAACTGCAAAAATTTCGCTGTATGCGGATACCAAGCAGTACTATACACCAGACCAACGGCTAATCCACTGCCCCTCCTGACCCCGAGTCGCGCCTCTCTACCACCCCTACTACCCCAGAGCCTGCATTTGCGCATGTCTCTTTCGGCCCTCGTCAATATACCCGACCCGACCTTGTCTGTCCGCACGCTGCACCACCAGTAACAATCTCACCCTCCTGTTCCCCTCACCACCGTCACCATGGCCACCGTCAACATTCGCCGCGATGTCACCGACCCCTTCTACCGCTACAAGATGGAGCGTATCCAGTCCAAGATTGAGGGCAAGGGCAACGGCATCAAGACTGTCATTGTCAACCTAACCAGCGTCGCTGGCTCGCTCGCCCGCCCCCCTGCTCACGTCATCAAGTACTTTGGTTTCGAACTTGGAGCCCAGACAAACACCAGCCCCAACGACGACCGCTGGATCATCAACGGCGCCCACGACGCCAGCAAGCTGCAGGACTACCTCGACGGCTTCATTTCCAAGTTCGTCCTCTGCAAGAAATGCAAGAACCCCGAAACCGACGTCCACATCAAGGATGGCAACATCACGCTCGACTGCAAGGCGTGCGGAAAGATTTCCGAAGTTGACCCTCGTCTCAAGCTCAGCTCCTTCATTCTCAAGAACGAGCCCAAGAAAGGCAAGAAGGACAAGTCTAGCAAGAAGGCTGAGCGCCGTGCCCGCAAGGAGGCCGAGGCTCGTGGCGAGGCCGGCTCGCCGGACAACGGCAGCCCCGGTGACAGCGCAGAGGAGAATGGCGATGACGGCGACCTTGCCCTCGAGGCTGGCAGTGATGACGAGCTCACTCGCCAGATCAACGAGGGCGCCAAGGAGATTGAGGAAGAAGATGCCAAAGAGGTCGAGTGGTCCATTGACACGTCTGAGGCGGCCATCAGGGCCCGTGCCCAGGATCTCCCCGACGACCTCAAGCGCGCTCTCGTCATTGAGGAGGACGAAGAGGGTGGCTCGAGCTACGACACTTTTGGCAAGTGGATCATCGACACGGGCGCAGAGAAGGGCGGCGTAGAGAACCTCGACAATGTCGACATCTACATCAAGGCCAAGGAGCTCGGTATCGAGACCAAGCACCGAACCCTTACCGTCATCCCTCAGACTCTGTTCACGGAGAAGATTGTCAAGCAGATTGACGCCCGTGCTCCAATGCTCAAGAAGATGATCACATCGGACAAGCACGAGAAGGCTTTCCTTGGCGGTATCGAGCGCTTTGTGGGCATTGAAAAGCCTGAGCTCATCCCTCAGGTATCTGCCATCCTGCTCAAGGTGTACGAGAACGACCTTGTGTCTGAGGAGCAGCTCCAGACGTGGTGCTCCAAGGCCAGTAAGAGGTATGTTGACCTCAAGGTTAGCAAGACTGTTCGCAAATCGGCCGAGCAGTTCAAGAACTGGCTTGAGCAGGAAGAGAGTGAGGAGGAGGACTCTGACTAGAACGGCTGTGTTGACAACCGTGCATGGTGAGAGTGTGTAGGTCAGCCGACTGCCAACTGTCTCTACCTCTGCGTTGCTTTTATGTCGGCTTGTTCCTAGTTTGGCATTGCTTGATTCTAGTTGAAGATGATCCTGTATTCTCTCTCTACTTTACTCTACTCTACCTAGCCAATCATTAGAAGAAGAAAAGGTTGATTTTGCAATACCCCGCTTCATTGCCATGTACTTGCATGTGTACTTGGCTACTTGAGTGCACCTGTGCCCCACTACCGTGCCGTAGTCAATTCCTTCCACCAGGTGCTCGGGCCCACGCTGGGCACACGGCGAAGTCTCTGCGTGCATGTGTAGAAACGCCATCCGAGCCCATAGCCCGTGCTACACCTAGTCAATGAGAACATGTGCATGGCGCGCACCTGCATTCCCGCACCCCCACCCTATGATTAATCTTCGCTTGTTCCCTGCCACTCACGGCTTGTAGTTTCTTATGCTGTTCCACTCACACTGATACTCCTCCAGCACCCACCCTCTGCCCTTTGCCATGCAAAATAGCGGCACCTTGGATAGCGAGAGAGGAAAGGAAGAAAAAAGCAAGCATCGGACCTCGCCTACTTTAGTGCCCCAGGTCACTGCCGCGTCAAGCACGTCCTCAACTCCCACACGGTTCATGTCCACCCGCTGGGAGCTTAGTCTCCGAGGTTTTGCCCCACAGAGGCAAGGATAAGTGGGGGTTCCATGCTCTGGATCCCGGCCAAGAACGCCTTTTTTTTCCAATCCACCGCTCCACGGTGGGTGGAGCGCGCGACGCGACTGGGTGAGTGAGAACCCAAAAGTCTGGCTTATAATGTGGCCGGCCCCTCGTCCTGGCTACAGCCCTTTTCCAAGCAACCGTACGCCTCGTACACCTCTCGTGAGCGACTTTGGGGTTTTGCGCTCACGTCAAATCCGAAAAGCTCCCACAGGTTATTATCCTCGTCTAGTATTCGACCTTGATCGCCCATAGGCCTAGCGTCATGAACCAAGTCCAAGTCCACCCTGCCGAGGGCGTTGTCGTCCAGGATGCGCACCAGCAGCACTACGATCCACAGCCAGTGCACAAGACAGGCCCCGGCCACTATGTGACGTCTGAAAACGAGTTGCATAGCGGTGCGCCAGCCAACGAAATCTTGGAACGCGATGTGCAGACAAAGGGACGCTGGTTCCAGTACATCAAGACGAAGCAGTTCTGGGTAACGCTAGTAATTGGGCAGGGTATGCATCCATGTCAACCTACTCCAATCCAATGCAGCACAACTAACCAAAAAAAAATTACGCAGTCCTTGCCATTTGCATTACCTCGACAAACACTTTTTCTTCTTTGCTCTCGGCAGAGGGCACTTCGATTCCCGCATTCCAGACCTTCTTTAACTACGTCCTACTCAACATCATCTACACCTCATATACCCTGTACAAGTACGGTTTCAAAAAATGGGTCCGTCTCGTCGTAAAAGATGGATGGCGCTTCTTCATTCTGGCCTTCATGGACGTCGAGGGTAACTACTTTGTTGTCCTGGCGTACCGCTATGTAAGTTGTACTCCCTTGCGTTCATTTGATGAGCAATCGCTAACACACCTGCAGACTACTATTCTTAGTGCCCAGCTAATCAACTTTTGGGCCATTGCCGTTGTCGTCATCATCTCCTTCTTCTTCCTCAAAGTGCGCTATCACTACACCCAAATCTTTGGTATCCTTCTCTGCATCGGTGGCCTAGGCGTAATCTTCGGCTCAGACCATATCACGGGCAGCAACAGCTTTGGCGCTACCGATCAAGTCAAAGGCGACTTGTTTGCTCTCCTAGGCGCCACTTTTTATGGTCTCTCTAATGTGTTCGAGGAATGGTTGGTTTCCGAACGGCCTCTTTACGAAGTCGTTGGCCAATTGGCTTTCTGGGGCATGTTCATCAACGGCACGCAGGCTGGCATTTTCGACCGCGCTGCCTTTCGCAGCGCCACGTGGAACGCAGATGTCGCCGGCTACATTGTGGGCTACACACTCATCCTCTCCCTCTTCTACTCGCTCGCTCCTGTTCTCTTCCGCATGAGTTCGGCCGCCTTTTTCAACATTTCCCTGCTCACAGGAAGCTTCTGGGGCGTGGCTATTGGTGTCAAGGTGTTTGGGCTCAAGATCCACTGGATGTACCCGATTGCATTTGTCTTGATTATCATCGGTCAGGTTATCTATTTCCTGAGGCAGAGCTCGGTCGGCGAGGCGCTGAAGCCTTGGCTGGGAAAGAATCAGGAGAGGGGACATGCTGGGTTGGGGACGGCGAAGAGGAGGGTCGAGAGGCCTGAGGCTATTGTTTGAGG